CCCCAACCCCAGCAACTATGCGTGCGCCTGCTCCTGGAGTGCATACCTACCCCTGCCATGCATTCCCTTGCGCCTGCTCCTACGCCTGCGTCTGCTGGTCTTTCCCCCGCCCCCCTCCACCCGTCCCTACATGCCTGAGTTTGCGACTGCGCCCAGTGAGCAGGCATGCGCCTTCATCCCCAGTGACCATGCGTGCGCCTGCGCCCAACGAGCTTGCGCGTTTGCGCCCAAGCCTGGCGTGGGTGCATGCGTGCGTGCGTGCGTGCGTGCCTGCGTGCCTGCAGTGCGTGCGCCTGCACCTAGAGAGCATGCGCCTGTGTCCACCGTGAGACCATCCTATGTGCGCATGTATGTGCGTGCCCTAAGCTCCTGCGTGCACAGAGCGCCTGCGTGCGTGCGTGCGCATGTGCCTGGCGTGTGCACCACTTCCCAGCGTTTGTAAGCCTGCGCGGGCCCACATTTCCTGCAGTGGCAAGTTCTGGTCTCAGTGCATATTGGGAAAAGCAATTGTCCACAAAGCGAAATGGCTGCCCGGGGCCAGAGTGGCCTCCCGGGTTCTTCTCTCTTGCGGCCATACCCTCGTTGGCCGCCAGATGGCGTGCGAGGACCATAGATGGGTCTGGTCTTCTTGGTTTCCCACTGCCCTTTCCCCCCTCTGGCCTGGTGAACCCAGCTTCCTGATGTCCTTGGTGTTGAAGCCCCTTCTACTGCCGCAGTCCGTATGGAGGTGGGAGAGAAGAAGGGAGGTGGGTGCCCGCGAGGAGCCAAAAGGGGCTCCTGCGGCCTGATCCCATTTCGCAGGGTGCCCTGGAGTCAGTCATCCGTGACACTGGACCCTAGTCTTCAGAGCTGTCCGGGGACAGGGACTGTGGACATGCGGGGAGGGCAGCTGGACCATTCACCCTGCAAGGGACGCCCGGGTGTACCTACCTGCTCTGGGCCCTGGGATTCCTTAGGGAGGGCCTTAGTTTCCAAGAGTTTGGTGAGGAAGGCTGATGGGATGGGCGGGGAGATCCTGCAGGGCAGTGGAATTGTCCAAAACTTGAGGAATTCGGCTCTATTCTAACTTTGGTCCTCCTTCATCACACGTACAGAAAGAGGTGATATGGCACAGTGATTAAGAGCATGGACTCCTGTGCTTGGTATTTAATCTAAGCTCTGTCACTCTGGCCTTGGGTATCTTTCTCATTGACTCTGTGCTCCAGTTCCCTCACCTTCAGAATAGGCATAATGATAGTTCCTATCACACAGGGTTGTTGTGAGGGTTAAATGGGTTTGAATGTGTAAAGCATTTACTGCCACAAAGTTTATTAAAACTTAAAGCTAAATAAATCAGCCCCCAGAAGAATATTTCCTTCCATTGTAATTATTAAAGAACACTCAGAAAGTTGGCCTCTGCTGCCCTTTATTGGCATGATTTCACTTAATACAGAGTAGCTCATATTCCCCCGACTGAGCTTCTAAAAAATATTTTATTGGTTTTTTAGATAGAAAGGAGGGGAGTGTAATACATTTACTGCCACAAAGTTTATTAAAACTTAAAGCTAAATAAATCAGCCCCCAGAAGAATATTTCCTTCCATTGTAATTATTAAAGAACACTCAGAAAGTTGGCCTCTGCTGCCCTTTATTGGCATGATTTCACTTAATACAGAGTAGCTCATATTCCCCCGACTGAGCTTCTAAAAAATATTTTATTGGTTTTTTAGATAGAAAGGAGGGGAGAGATACAGGGAAACATCAATGATGAGAGGATCACAAATCAGCTGCCTCCTGCATGCTGGAAATCAAGCCTATAACTCTGGCATGTGCCCTGACAGGGTATCAAACTGGCAACCTTTTGGTGCATGGGATGATGTCCATCCAACTGAGGAACACTGACCAGGGCCCACTAAACTTTTATTTTGGGGCTTTACATCTAAAACATAGGACAGGGTATCAAACTGGCAACCTTTTGGTGCACGGGATGATGTCCATCCAACTGAGGAACACTGGCCAGGGCCCCACTAAACTTTTATTTTGGGGCTTTGAGCTATTTTCCTCTTTGTTATGTTGCAATCTGGGCATTTCAGGTTTATGATATTTCTGCATGAAGAACAAACAGGTGAACTTTAAGCTAAGCACATTTATTCACTGTGGACAACTGTTGTTATCCTGTGGCAGAGTCTATCAGAGGTAGTACAATAGTGGAAAGGGATGTTCTCTTCTATGCAGAGAGTGTAACTGTGTCAAAAATTGGCAGTATCTGTATGTATTAGACTACTAGATCTTTAAGCACATTTATTCACTGTGGACAACTGTTGTTAACCTGTGGCAGAGTCTATTGGAGATAGTACAATAGTGGAAAGGGGTGTTCTCTCCTATGCAGAGAGTGTTACTGTGTCAAAAATTGGCAGTATCTGTATTAGACTACTAGATCTTCGATCTAGTTACAGCCAGAAGTATTACCTTGCCTATCTCTAAACGCTTGACTTGCAGATAATTCATTATGGGCCTGGAAGACCTCTAGGCTATCACATTGCTCAGCAAGGCTTACTGTGACATTTTTACTAAGATTTTCTTTTTATGGGCTATACCTCCTGTAATTGTGGTGACTCCTCTCTGAGGCTAAGGGTGAAGGAGCCTTATTCATCCACTTGTCCCTGTGTTACAGTAGACCCTCAAATTGCTCTTTGCAGAGAATCTTGGCTTTAGTCACAAACTTGGTGAGGACAACCTCTATTACCATAATTCTATAGAGGATGTGGGATAGAACAGGACTTTGATTAAATCCATGGTAAAGCTAGCTCAGGGCTCCCAGAGTTAGGAGACAAACTCTTTAGGTCTTCCAAGTTTATCTTTAGCTCAAGCATGTTTGTCACAGACAAAGGTGAAGTGGATGTATCACGAAATCCCGTTGGCTAAAAGATTAGCATTATGTAAGCAGACCATTTTTGATATCTGGCTGGGCTACAGCAGACCATCAGTAGAAGCAGCATAGAAAGGCACAGTATTCACTTGCCTGCAGATCTTCCAGGTACAGCTGGAGGTGGTGTTTGGTTTGTCCCTGCTGCAGTACTTTGGAGTGAGTCAGAATCAAGGTGATGGTGAGCTACGTTTTCATTTTATGGAATGCGGGGCTCATGCTCTTAATAACCTGACTTAGTCTTTTCCTTTGGCCTAGTGGGCATATGACATTTTTGGCACTGGAGGCCACCAGGTAGCAGCACCATCACTCAGGATAGAGATTCTGGAGGAGGCATCAGCTGAGAAAACAAATCCCTTGGAAGCACCTTAGGATGGGGATGGTGATGGAAGGTGCAAGTGTTGGTGTGATGTGTGGCCAGGGAAGAAGGAAGACCTCCCAAAGAGCTCAGCGTTAGGGACAGCTGAATTAAGGGTTGGCAAAAGCATAAAAGGCTCAGACTTCACCCAGTACACATGGGGATGGCCTTTGTAGGAAGGGAGTACTGGTGCTGGGGTCCTCCTGAGGAGGAGACAGTCTTCTCCCCAATATGGAGGCATGCTGGGCTCCCCTCAGCCCCACTCTCAAGGAGAGAAGCCTGCTATGTCCACAGAAGGTGACATCAGTGTGTAGGGTAAGCAAAGACTAGTCCCACAATATTTACTCCATAAGGGCACTCATTATTTTTTTCAGCTCCTTGGCTGGTTTTGAGGAAAAGAATGTGGTCATCGAGCTGGGAGAGTCCTGGCAGGAGAAGCCTGCAGTCCCCAGAGGTGGCCACAGAGACCCAGCTGCACCTACCCAGCAGCCTGAAGATCCCAGCACTCCAGAGCATCAGAGAAGCCCCAGAATACCCCAGAAGTTCATGGACTTGAAGACCCAGACCAGCAGCAGGTAAGGGTAATGCTATGCTGGTCTACTTCCTGCCCAAGCTGGAATTTGGTCAGACTCCATGACCCAGGTGTAGCCTGCTCTCACCCCATGTTCATGCCAGTGCCTGGTATATCACACACTCAGATGCTCACCCTTGTGCCCATTGTGGAGTTAGAATGGTGACTCCCTGGGCATGGAGCTGTGTCAGGGGTCTTCCTGTAGTGCATGGAGCTGGGATGAGGCCTTTTGTGGGAGCAGGTATTTGTGCTCAGAGATAAGAAGCCCTGGCTAATACTTAACATGTAGACTATTGGTAGAAGCAGCATAGAGAGGCACAGTATACATGCACTTCAGGTTGGGAGTCCAAAGTAGGATGAAGGCTATTTGTGTGTTGACAGGGGGACGGTAGTGAGTGAGAGAAAGCAACAGGGTGAAGCAGTGAGAGTGCGAGAAAGAAAGCATGAATAAGCAGGCAGTAGAGAGGGTGACAGTGGCATTGAGGGTGGCAGTGGGATTGTGATTGGCGATGTGTTGGTGTGTGTCAGTGAGAGGACAAGTATGACTGTGATTGGAGGTGACCATGTGGTATGGGTTGAAGTGTTCAAATCAATGCTCTCCTGACAGCATCTGAAATGCTGGCTCCTACACCTCGTAACCTATACAGCTTACGAAAATGTTGACAGATTGTTAAGATGCAGCGAGCTTGTATTGCTTGGAGATTTCAGAAAGAGCAATTGAAAGCTTGTACCATTTCCAAACCAAGCAAATGGTTTCTCACCCAAGACAGAAATGCTAGAAGGGGAGAGCTGAGACTCTTACAACCCCAGGAGACAGTAGATGGTACTTGTGGCTTCTCTTGCAGGGATAAAATAAAAAATGTTCATACATCCTCAAGTTACTGGGGTTCTTACTATAACGTAGAGAGTCCATAGTTAGTGAGATGGAAGCTATTTTTATGGCCAGACTATTCTATTAAATAAAAGATTTTTTTATTTAAGAATATCCAACTTGTTTTTTACTCCTTTTCTTGTCCTTGACCCCAGTAGGAGCCCAGACCAAAGTTACTGATCAAACACCTTTGAACTTCCAGCCACATCATTTGGCTTCCTACACTGCTCAGTGCTCCCATTAGTGAGAGTGGGTGCAAAAAGTGCAAGCTTTATATGAAGGAAAATACTATTGGATTTCTCTTTTGGTTAGGTGGGGAATTGTCAGGAGGGGTTTTCTTTGCAGGTGGCATGAGGTTGGAGCTAGAAGATTTTGCCTGGTATACATGCTGTGAAGGAAAGACAAAGTCCGGGTGGTGGCAGTGGAGGAAGGGTTAATTGGTGGCTTGGTGGGAAGTGCTGAGGAGGGCTGAGCAGGCACCTATTCCTAGGCTAAGTAGTGTGACTCACCTTCTGATGCCCCTGGGGCCACAGATAGCTTTCAGGAGAGCAAGATGACTGAGATGACAGACCAGAGCAGCCGTGATTTGTAGGAAGATTCCTTCCACCTGCCATGTGTAGCATCAGGCCCGGGGCTATAAAGCAAGATGATTCAGACCAGTTAGAAGACATCTGTTCAGCCAAGAGGTGATGAGGCCATAGTCTTGTTGCTCTGTTAAGGGGAAAGGTGAGAGAAAATGGTAGCAGAGGCTGTTCCAAAAATTTCATGGTTTGGCAACTTGGTGGATGGTGTGGGCCCCCAACCATGACAGGAACTAGCTAAGGGCCCACAACAAGGTTGTGGGGGTGTTGTGCAAATGGCACTTGAGCCATGTTGAATATGAACTGCCTGTAAGGAATCCAGGCAACAATATCCAATAGGCTATGAGTAAACAGGCCTGAAATTGAGTGAAGATTAGACCTGAGGCTAGACAGTGAATGAGGATGCCTGGAAAATAAGATTACCTGGAGGGGGTAGAATGTCATTTCTCTGGAATTTTGTTTATTCTGCTGGTCTTTCTTCCTCCTGTTCTTTTGGGAAGGAGTGGCTTATTTGGTTGTCAAGTTGGGGATTGCAGAGACCAAGCTTGGCCCTAATTCTCCACCTTTGGAAACATATGACTTTAGATGTACAGCCCAGAAGGTTCCCCTTAAATTCTCTGCTTCTCTCCACAAGCATCTGTGGCCAGTGGTCTTGCCAGGCCCTTGGCTGGATGAGTAAGTCCCTGTGGTTCAGGAATGCAAGGGGAGTCATCCTTTTGACTCTACATGTAAAGCCATTTGCTTCACCAGCTGACATTTATCTCCATTTTCTGCTTTTCTTTTGTCTCAAAAAGAAAAAAAAAAAAGGAGGATAATAATTATTGGCCTTCTAAAACTCTAATAGGATATATGTAAAAAGAAAAAAGGTTGTTTTTTTTTAAAAAAAAAAAACAAGAGAGAAAGGCAGATGGATCAGAATTCTGGAAAATAATATTGAAGGGTCTTCTAGAGGAAGAGGAGCTGAGGAAAAAGACAATTTTGGATAAATGGAAGAAACTAGAAAGAGTACAGTCATGAAAACCAAGCAAGGCTGAGGTAACTTTCCTGTAACTGATATTAATAATACCTATTTTAGAAAATTTCCTCCAAAGAATACATCATAATACATCTCAGTATTAAAGGAAGCACTTCAGTAAAGTGGAAAGTTGAATTATTAACCATCACATTCCAAATGATACCAACAGTATTATATTTCATGTAAATCTACTTTAGACATGATGCTCCCATTTTAGATGAGTCAAGACATAAAAAAAAAAAAAGCCCTGGTCGGTGTGGCTCAATTGATAGCACATGATCCCATGCACCAAAAGGTTGCTGGTTCAATTCCAAGTCAGGGCACATGCCTGGGTTGTAGGCTCAATCCTCAGTAGGGGGCGTGCAGGAGGCAGTCGATCAATGTTCCACTCTCACATTGATGTTTCTCTCTTTCTCCCTTTCTCTCTCTCTAAAAATCAATAAACTATTAAAACAAAACAAGACAAAAAAGACATAAAAAAGAGTTTATACAACAGAGTGTTTGAATGGCAAAAAACAAACCCAGCATATTTACTCTCAAAAGAGGAAAAATCTTACTTTTGGCCCCAAGGAATACTATTTCTACAGTTTGCAATTTAGGGTTGGTGATCCCTACCCAACCCAATGGCACAATGCCGAGAGTTTGTGACAATAAAGCTAAAAATGTCAGTTTATATTTAAAAAAATAAAATAAAATAAAATATTGGTTATGGTCTGGCCAGTGTGCTTCAGTGGTTAAGCACTGACCTATGAACCAAGAGGTCACCGGTTCAATTCCTGGTCAGGGCACATGCCCAGGTTGTGGGCTCAGTCCCTAGTGTGTGGTGGGTAGGAGACAGCCAATCAATGATTCTCTCTCATTATTGATGTTTCTATCCCTTCCTCTCCCTTCCTCTCTGAAATCAATAAAAATATATTTAAAAAACATGGTTTGATATGGCTGCAGTTTATGATAAGGAAGCAGTGGGGGAGATGATGTTAGCTGGATAGTGTTCAGACAAAAAAAAAAAAAAGAGTTAACCTAGCAAGCCTCAGACTCTCTGAAATCAATAAAAATATATTTAAAAAACAGCTACAGAATGAAGCTTGTGTGTCCAAGGGAGGAAATACCTGCCAGATGCGTTAAGTTTGCAGTCCAAAGAGAGTGAGCAAACTTGAAGGTGAAGGGTCAGTGAGGTCAGGGTGTGGCAGGTTCTAGCCTCGAGCAGGAAAGAGAGGGCTGTATCTCTGAAGCAGGAGGGAAGGTTGAGTGCAGATGTAGGTCAGAAGGCAGGGGAAGGAATGAACAGACTAATGTGAGCAACTTTATTTGTTCTGTGAATTAATGAACCACACATTCCACAATTAAACCAAATTTTACTTAGCTACTAGTTCCTGCCAAGCCATATACTGCACTAGGGATACAGAAAAATAAGACTTGGTCCCTGCCCTTTAGGAGGTCACAGCCCTTGACAGTGGTAAGCGCTTACCTGTGGGTATGGATACGGCACTATGGCAGCATACTAGAAGGACCGTGTGACTTGGCTGTTCTCACAGAATCAGAGAAGGCTTCATGGAGGG